CTAGTGAGCAGGACGTTGCCGGCACATAGTAGATGCTCAATAAACACTCCTCAAATGGACAGAAGATTCCTAGAAAGAATGACTGACTGATGTTCCCTTGCAAGGCCGGGGGCTTCCCTGGAAATGTACCTTGTGGTTCTCAGCCTGGAGCTTGCCCAAGAGACAGGAGGAAGGGACAGTGTTAACTCTCTGGGAGGCCTCTCCTTCCTCCTGACAACTCGAGACAGCAGTGAGCCTGGCTCCAGAGCAGGCCAAGCAACTGCACCAGGCAGGAGCACCCAGATGAGAAGTGACAATTGTGCACAGACTGAAGGTCTCAGTGACACTGACCTAGCAGACCCTCGCTTCTAGTGCTGTGGCCATGCTGTAGACAGAGCTTCTTGAGATGAGGAGGGTCCCAAGTCACTGCCAGCTTTTAAAAAATAAACCAAGATCAGCTTTTGTCTCCAAGAAACTGCTGGATGACCCCAGAAGAATCATAGAGAATGGCCTTCCTTTCTGCCAGGTCGAGCCTGTCCCTGGAGTTGCAAGGAATTCCTAATTACATGTGAGTTCTCAGGTGACAAGTGACACCTGACGGTCCTGCTCACTCCCAGTACTAGAGCACTTTATCTCCAGCACAGCCATCGAGAGAACAAGCCACTGCTTAGCGCTGAGGGCTGTGCACCTGCCCGTGTAGAAGGGGGATAANGGCTTTGTAGTTCTGCAGATGTTGTGTTCCGTGCTCAATGAACTGAGGCACATCTTTTTACGCTCCACAGCACGTGGTTCAGAACTGACGCTGGACAGGCTCAGCACACGTGCCACCACAGGGGACGGGAGGAGCCCTAGCAGAAGAGAAAGAGAAAGGGAGGAGGAGTGGAAAATGGGATTGGAACAAAAAATGAAGCTCTTAAAAAAATATGGTATACGTCGTATCAGATAAGAGATTTCTTAAAAGGGAGGTCGTGAGGGGCTTTGGAGACCACCAAGGGTGGCGCCAGGATGAACACAGAATGTCAGGTAACTTTACAAACTTGCTTATCTGAAAGCCAGGTTTTAACTTCGGTTTTCCACGTCTTAATGAAGAAGCACTCCTTTCAGATATCTAGTGAGCAGGACGTTGCCGGCACATAGTAGATGCTCAATAAACACTCCTCAAATGGACAAAAGATTCCTAGAAAGAATGACTGACTGATGTTCCCTTGCAAGGCTGGGGGCTTCCCTGGAAATGTACCCTGTGGTTCTCAGCCTGGAGCTTGCCCAAGAGACAGGAGGAAGGGACAGTGTTAACTCTCTGGGAGGCCTCTCCTTCCTCCTGACAACTCGTGACAGCAGTGAGCCTGGCTCCAGAGCAAGCCAAGCAACTGCACCAGGCAGGAGCACCCAGATGAGAAGTGACAATTGTGCACAGACTGAAGGTCTCAGTGACACTGACCTAGCAGACCCTCCCTTCTAGTGCTGTGGCCATGCTGTAGACAGAGCTTCTTGAGATGAGGAGGGTCCCAAGTCACTGCCAGCTTTTGAAAAAGAAACCAAGATCAGCTTTTGTCTCCAAGAAACTGCTGGATGACCCCAGAAGAATCACAGAGAATGGCCTTCCTTTCTGCCAGGTTGAGCCTGTCCCTGGAGTTGCAAGGAATTCCTAATTACATCTGAGTTCTCAGGTGACAAGTGACACCTGACGGTCCTGCTCACTCCCAGTACTGGGGCACTTTATCTCCAGCACAGCTATCAAGAGAACAAGCCACTGCTTAGCGCTGAGGGCTGTGCACCTGCCCGTGTAGAAGGGGGATAATATTCGTGCTGCTTCTTTTGAGGAAGAATGAGCTGTCGGGTAGTGAGACCGACTTTGTCTTCGACTTCTCTTTTTTTGGTCATGTCTCACATGCAGTCTGTCAGCAAGTCATGCTGGCCCTTCTTTCAGAACACATCCAGAGAAAGCCGGAGATTACTGCTGCCTCTTCTGGACTCCGTGTAAGTGGATCCTCCGTGTAAGTGGATCGTGCTGTGATACCCGTCTCTCCAGAATCGACCACTCCCTGCACATCTGTGACTCCCGGCCCCGAGCCAGGCTCACTTCTTGTCCTACCAGCTGCTGCCGCTGCCCTTAGCCCCAGCACACACCAGCTAGTCCAGCCTTGTGACAGTGTTTCAGTCATCTGCTGCTGCTGTATGGCCAGGTGCCCGCAGCCTCACGACATCAGGCAGCAGCAGGGTACCGCACCTGACGGCCGGCAGGGCACGGGCGCAGAGCCCCTCTGTCGCTCTCCCAGGCTCGGTCATGCGGCTGCATTTACTGTGGTCTTCTCTCTCTCTCTCTCTCTCTCTCTCTCTCTCTCTCTCT